GTGTCTAAATGAGCTCAGTAATGTGATATGTAGCTGCAAGGGAAGAAACAATTTTACATGGAAAAGTACTTTGGATTATACACTAATCTTCTACAGTATAAGATATTTTCAGCCTGACTCAGGATAATAGTCAGAATACCCTGACATTTGCTCACTCAACTCGTATTTACATTACTATGAAAGAAGTACATTATTGACATAAATTCTGGAAAATTCTGGATAAATCTCTTGGCTCTAGTTAAGGACAATGAAAGTGTATTTTATTGTTTTTTTCATAATGATATACTTGCCATAGTTTAGGTAACTTTACACAATGCAGCAGAACCATATGGCCATGTAAACTGGCTGTGTACTGAGCTGACAGATCACCTGGTAAATGGCACAGTGGTAAAAACAAACAAACAGAATCTTAGGGTATATAAAAATTGAGACTATACAACTGGGTATATACAAAAGGACACTGGAAATATTATTATCTCACTATTTAAATCAGTGATACACCCTCATCTAGAGTTTTGTGTTCAGTTCTGGTCTTTTTATCTCAAAAAGATATAACTAATTGCATAGGCCATGGATGGATAATAAAAAAATGATTAGAGGCACAAAAAGACTTCCATGTAAAGACAGACAGAGATAGTGAAAAGACCAGGACTGTCCAGTTTTGAAAGGAGGCAAACAAGCATGGTAGTCTACACAAGTAATGCAGTGTCTAGAGAAAGCAAATTGGGTTCTCTTATTTATCTTTCTACACAGTACAAAAGCAAGGGATGAAATGTTAAGGCAACAAATTTAAATCTCCTAAAAGGAAATAATTTTTTCAACTAACACATAATTATCCTATGAATCCCTTTGACACAAGGTATCGTTGAGGCCAAGAGCTTAGAAGAGAGGTTCTCAAGCTATGGTCCATGGAGCACCAGTGGTCCACAATCTCCATTCAGGTGGTCCACGGATAGTTCTCTCTAAGGTGAGCTCCTGGGTGGCCTCACACAAGAGAATGAAGGGTCACACACCTAATTAGTGGAGCCGTGCAGGCACTAATTAGGTGCCTGGACCTTGGAGAAGACACACATGTGAGGTGGTGGCCTTAGGGGAAATAAGGGATAGGTGGGAGAGGGCAGTGGGGTGAGAATCGGGGGTGGGGAGAATTTGGGATGTGCAGGACTAAGTCGGCCAGAGAAAGAGACGACTTTCCCCAGCTCCAGAGCTGCAGCTGTCGGGGAGAGACCTCCCTCCTTCCCAGACTCAGATAGGGGACTACTGTGGTGCAGGAGAGGGGGAGATAGTGCCCTCCTTCCCAGACCCAGCTTGGGGGCTGCCATGACGGGGGAGAGAGGGCACATCCATCACATTAGAAAGGTAAGACTACTGATATTAAAATATGAGTTGTGTGCTTTTATTTGTAGAACAAAAAAAGTTAATTATTATTAAGTTTGTTTTTATATAGCGCTTTTATCCAAAGCACTTTACAATAGTTAACTAAAGGCACAAACAACATTTGGAAAGATCATTCAGTGGTCCGCTGAGACTCTCAGCAATTTTCAAGTTGTCTACGGGAAAAAAAAAGTTTCTGGACCACTGGTTTAGAAGATTTCAGAAAAGGACTAGACGTTGATATGAATAATGATAAATTATATCCACAATTATAGGATAAAAGCTAAAATTCAAAACAATTAGGTATATAAACTCATGTTTCAGGCCACAAGACCCCACTAACTGATGGAGGTTAAAAACAAACATCCTGAATAGTCAGGTAATTCCATAATTGTCAACTATGTTTTTTTTTTCCACCTTCCTCTAAAACATATTGTACTGGCCTCTCTTAGAGAAAGAATACTGGACTAGATAGACCACAGCTTTCACACAGTATGGCAACTTCTATGTTCCAGAGGACATGCAAATGAACTCTTATTACTCCAATCACTCTGGGCAGTCTTTCTCTCTCTCTCCTGGGATCAACCCTAAGCACATTCTGAATTTTCCACTTCACAGGGCATAGAAGTTTCAAAGACTTCATTCATTGGAACTTCCTTTACTGCTTTTCAGCACCCTCTCTCAGAATTCACATATGATCTCACCTCCACCTTGAACGATAAACCTAGGAAGATGACTCTTCCTGATTCCTCCAAATGCCAATACTCTCCTTCTGTGCTGTCCCCAGCCATAAAATCTTCCCCCAACAATCAAACAATCCCATTCATTTCTGGCTGTCTATCTAAGGCCTCCGTACAAGTTGCACAAATTGTAGGACAAGACCTGGTCTCTCTGACCAGGTAGGACTATGGGAGTTAATATTTGCACAGGTTCCACCAGAAAAAGGAAGGCGGAGACACAGGTCTATGATATACTTAAATTGAGCAGAATCCAAGAATACCTATGTAATCTCTCTATATTCTTACACCATGTCTAGCACCATGAAATCAGACTTCCTTACTAATATTAAATCAAGAAGGTTATCTTCTATATCAGGGATCGGCAACATTTGGCATGCAGCCGGCCAGGGTAAGCTCCCTGGCAGGCCGGGCCGGTTTGTTTACCTGCCGCGTCCGCAGGTTCAGCCGATCGCGGCTCCCACTGGCCTCGGTTCGCCGCTCCAGGCCAGTGGGGGCTGTGGGAAGCGGCACGGGCTAAGGGATATGCTGGCCACGGCTTCCCGCAGCCCCCATTGGCCTGGAGCGGTGAACCGCAGCCAGTGGGAGCCGCAATTGGCCAAATCTGTGGATGCGACAGGTAAACAAACTGGCCCGGCCCGCCAGGGGGCTTACCCTGGTAGGCCGCGTGCAAACGTTACTGATCCCTCTTCTATATTCTGTAGGAAGTCTGTTGTTTTGGTCTGTGTCTTGATAACATGATTTGGATTTTGGTTATTAAATGAAGCGTGGAAGGGTGACTTTTTTTTTCTGAAGCTTCTGAAGTTTGTAGTGATTTTGAGCACATCTGGAAGTAAGTTCTACAGTTATAGACCATTTGGCCTAGTTCTTGCATACAAAAGTTTCACTCTTGAGGTTGACAGTTCCATTGGGCTAGTGCAGCATAGGAGGTCATGATCAAGTTACCTGATGTAACATAGCTTGTTATAATTTATGATTTCCATGATAACACCCAAAACCTGCTAGTTGATTTCCAAGTGCAGAAAGAGACACAATCTTTGGCTCAAAGAGTATACAATCTAAAACATGGACTGAGCTCATGGAGAGCTTTGAATGTCATGACCAAAATTTTGAATTTCACTCTGTATTCAATGACAAGCTAATGGAGAGTGGAGCACTGGAGTGATGCGAGTTGCTGAATAGACAGCTGTATCTGAACAAGTTTGTGCCTTTTAAGGTTGGCACTTTCATCCTAAGTTCTGTAACTAAGCCTAGAAATCATAAATGAGTTGATAACCACATCCAGCTGTGACTCTGACAAGAGGAGATGCAGACTACTAGTCAGCAGTATGTGGGAAAGAATGTCCATCTCCAGCCATGGTTATTTGGGTGACAAGAAGCTGGGTGGCCCACATAAGTGCAAAGCAGTCAACTTTAGGGATGTGAGGTTCATGTCACGATCCACTTAAATGTCTGGCTCCGTTCCACGCCTCAGATACTACTTGGGCTGCATTTGATCCATTAAAAGTACTCCTATGCTGAGAGGTACTGGTGCCTGCATAAATCACAAACCTCTTTGAGATTGGGTATGAACACAACCTTAAATTAATATAACTGTTAGGATGAGTTAATCGCAAGCCCACCACCTAAGACAATGGGGATTGTGAACAAAGGACTTTTGCTGAGGTTTTGTTTGTGTGTGTGTGTGTATGTGTGTGTGTGAGAGAGAGAGAGAGAGAGAGAGTCAGAAGCTGGAAACTGAGAGAAACTCAGAGGGGGAAGAAAGCCAAGCAGCATCCTGTAAGCACAGCGTGAGAGCTAGAGAGAGAGCTTTTGGAACTGATGTTGGCTAAAAATGTGTGTTGCTGTAAGCTAAAAAAAACCTAAATAAATAAGATTGCATGAAAGAAAATACCAGAATCTAGCAATTTCTACTTCCAACTGAAAGGACTTGGAACTCTGACTAGTCACTAAGGTCAAAAGGAGTAACAGTAGTTTCTTGTGCTATATCAGTGGTTCCCAAACTTGTTCTGCCGTTTGTGCAGGGAAAGCCCCTGGTGGGCTGGGGTGGTTTGTTTACCTGCTGTGTCTGCAGGTTTAGCCAATCTCGGCTCCCAGTGGCCGCGGTTCGCAGCTCCAGGCCAATGGGAGTTGCTGGAAGCGGCGCGGGTCGAGGGACGTACTGGCCGCCACTTCCCACAGCTCCCATTGGCCTGGAGCAGCGAACCCCGGCCACTGGGAGCCGCGATCGGCCGAACCTGTGGACGCAGCAGATAAACAAACCAGCCCGGCCTGCCAGGGGCTTTCCCTGCACAAGCAGTGGAACAAGTTTGGGAACCACTGTGCTATATAAATGCACCATATTATTGATTCTTCTGTGAGTACAGTGTTTTGTATTGTATCAGAATTAATACAATCTACTTTAAACAGCCTCACTGTCACTAAATATTAATCAGTATTTTAACTGGACAAAATTATATTTATATTATTTAAAAATATCCCCTTTCCTTTGTTCCAACGCAGGAATAAAACAGGCAATTATCTCCATAATGGCAGCCTGTAAGTCTCTGCATGCATCAGAATAATTTCTAAACCATTGAAATTTCTCCAGCTGAAAGGAGAATCCTTTATTTAAGGAGAATTTAAATATAATGAAAACAATGTTATAATTTTACATGACTGTTACTCATAAAGTTTTAATCTAAATGGTGGTAATTTTAGATCTTTATGAAAATCTTTGTAAGATGTTAAGAACTTGAAACATAACAGTAGTGCAAATACTTATGAAACTGTCTTTTGTTTATTGTATATCATTTCCTTACCATTGCAATGCTATTCACTGTTAAAGTGCTTCTTTAATTGTGTTTTCAGTATTCATAAGAAATAAGCGTTTTTGGGATAATTACTCACTTTGGTGAAGATCAGCAATTTGGCTCACATACACTTCAGAAAATTAGTGAAAATGTTTGAAGAAGACAGTTTCCTACAAAGACAAAGATACTATATGTTTAAAACAAACAAAAAAAAGGAGTTTATTTCATTTTCGTCTACTGAAGTGTTAGGCAATTATTCTAGAACATTTTGACTTGTTTACAATTGTTCATCAGTGTTTCTAAATACAAGGATCTTTAGTACTATAAATGCCATCGTCTATTTTGAAATTATTGCCAACCATGATCATATGTCCCCAGGGGTACTTAACTGATTTTCAAGGTATTTCATGAAAATTTCAAACTGTACAACATAGATAGGCAAAGCTAGTTGGTTTTCTTACCAGTTGGAATGTAAACAAAGAACCCATAATTCAATATACAACAACATTATCAGCAGAATTTAAGTTTTAGTATTTAATTATATTTTTGTAGTATGTGCATGCATCGAATCATATTTTTTAAAATAACTGCTACTTTATTATTCAGATAGCAAGTGAAAGCCTTTACAAATAATGTCCATGTCTCATAGAGCTTATAAAGGAAGGAAAAATCTTCAGTTAATGTAAATTTTCATAGCTCCAGTTACTTAAAAGGAGCTATGACAATTTACACCAATCAATGGAGCTATGACAACTTACACCAGCTGAGATTTTGCCACCATATGTTCAGGGCCTAATTTTGCCATCTTACTCATGCTGACTAGTAGTTTACAAGTAGTCCCACTGAAATTAATTGAAATTAATGGCACCACTTAAGTACTCATCCTGAATAAAAGTGGCAAAATGTAACCCTTGCTATTTCCCCCTATATTTCCTATACAATATTATAGCCAAACCATCCTTCTATGAAGCATCTAGCATATGACTGAATATAGTTTTGAATATTCAAAATCCAGAGCTTTGCTGAACACACTTGCTGTTTTGTAATAAATAGTAATATGCAAGTTTCAGAGACGTTATTTGTTTTGTGTTGTCTTGTGAAACTTATCACCTTTACTGCAAATTAAATGAATGTATTGGCTTGTTTTGTGTTCGTCCAGTGTTTAGCACAATGGGGCCCTGGTCCATGATTGGAGCTCCTAGGTGCTATGATAACACAAATAATAAGGTATGGATCCAATAATGGCTACCCCTAAATTATGACAATGACCTTTCTCCTGCTCATTAATTTTTCCCAGTGACTACTGTTTTGTTCTTTAAATGTTGTGGTGACATATCAACATTGACTTTCAGTCTTTCACATTAAAGCCACTTCTGAAACTGATTATTACTCTGTTTCAGAACGTTACAGAGTTGGATATTCTCATCACCTTTTGGGGGTGTTACGTTTGATGGTAGTTACATTATAAGCCTTATGTAACAATGTGCATGTTGAGTAAGCAGCATGTAATCATGAACAACTGAACTTTTTTTTAATCAGTGCACTTGTTATGCATGTGATCTTATCCAGAAAATAGGTCCTTACTGTTTAAGAAATGGTTATGTAAAAGACTCACAGATGACTGTTCCAGTATGGTCCATTCTCTTGAAGGAACAGTATCTATTTTATCCAAGGAATGGCAGACACTACTTATATTGATATAGACTGAAGTTTTACAGTGCTTCAAAATTCAAATCTTCTGTTCATTTAATATGCTGTCATGATCACCAAAAACCACGTAGGTGGGGATTGTAGCAGGTATGATAATTTCTCACATTGTCTTGTAGTCTTTATTTTGAAGTTCTGAGTGTGATATTCTGTTACATCTTACTTCATTGTTGACCTTTCTTCAATTAAAAAAAATGCCCATCCCTTTAGCTCTATTTGCTCAAACAGCCCATATCTGAGCAGTCTGCTGCTTCAGGAAAATGTATTTTAGTAACAGTGTCAGAATAAAGAGTCAGACTTAGAAAATGGTTTTCTAATCCCAGTTCAGTGCAATAACAATTGTACACTTGGATACAGCACTGATGGAGAAACTCTTAGCAGGTTTATAACTGAAAGCACAAAAAATCTGGGGTAATATGAATCTATAAAGGATTACAATTTTATCTGTCCAACTGGGGCATTCTAATTGGAGTTTGTGACCACTGACCTCCTGCCTCCTCTTGTACTGTAGTATCTTTTGAATATAATCATCAGCAAATTTTTTAAATGACAAATATGAAGTTCATGTGTGATTTCTTGCCATTTACTGTAAGTTAAGATCATATGCTATGTGTTACATGAACCTCTGTTAAATTAGTTCAATCTCTATGTAAAGTGTCAATGTGAAGATGACCATACTGTCTGTTTTTGCGTTTTAGTTTCTGGTCTTGTTTTTTTAACGCTTTTTTTTCCTAATAATAATAACCAAAGTTCTGTTATATATCAAGTTGTTGCATGGTAGTGTTTTCAAAATAAAATTAAAACAAATGGTAAACTAATTTGGCAATCGAATCCAATCTGCTTAACGCAAAGGGGTTCTTGTCTTGTGCAGTAACTCCCCCCACCCCCCCTTCTTCTCAAAGTTTTCTAGCTAGGCATGAAGACCATGTTTCAGAAAAAAACCTTCCTATTCAGGAAGGCACATAAGTATGGATTTAGCATATGCTGAAGTGCTTTCCTAAATGAGGGCCCAAGTCCATTGGAATCAATTGGAGTCTTCCCTTTTAGGCTTGGATTAGATCCTTAGCCTACTGAAGTCAAAGACTGCTGAACCTGCCATATATCGGTTTCAGTAATACTTCATACAGAATGGCAGTCACCAAGCTCATTTTCATTGTGCAAGAAGCTGCTTCTTTTTCATTTTGAAATGTATGCTCCAAAAACTTTTCCCCTTAAGAACAGGGTGGCCTAGCATATCCTTGGAATAATTACATATTTGATGTATGTAGTAAAGATTAACCACTGACCACAAGTGTCTCACTTATTTCTCTATTAATATTATCTGAATATATTTCTGAGGATTCTAAATGTCATCCACTAAAGGCAACCGTTCAGCTGTATTATATTTCTTGTTGTGTCCAGCAAGGTTTAGCTAATGGTATAATCTTCCTTTCCTGTAGCTCCAATTTTTTATGAATATTTCCCAGCAAGTGTCAGGCTGAAGATATTTATCATGTTACTTTAGGTTAGTTTTCTATAAACAGTCCCCCCCCATCCCCATCCCCATCCCCAAATAAAGGCTGGAGGGAAAAGGATCTCAAATATTATGGAAGTGTTAAACTGGAGTAGTCTTTTGTTAATTACATATCACAGCTTTCTGTCAAAATAAATCTGCTTCTATCTCCCAGCATGTATCAGAGAGGGAGTAAGGTGATAAGTTCATTCATGAGGCTCCTGAGACCAAAGTTCAATAAAGAACAGGATGGATTTTACCTTTTCAAAGTCATGCTGGTTAAAAATTCCTGTTTTTTCTCCTTTTTTTTAAAAAAAGTGGACTCTTTATAGAGCAAAGTCTGTAACGAGACTGTACTGACCGTAGTATCAGGAAACGTAGAGTGCAAGCGGTATGCTTTAGTGCAGAATGGTTTCAAAATAAACTCCTACAAATCGTAGAGCGCCCCCCCTTTTTTTGATTAATAAAAAGTCAAAACAGGAAATTTCCTAGACAAATAAATGAATAGGTGTAAAGATCTGTGACATTTTAAAAACATAAATGAGGCTCCCATATGTCTCATTGCCCGATATTAGAATATTGTAACACACACAGACAGGCTGACAAGAGCAAGATAAACCACAGCATTATGCTCACAACAGGGTGTGTGTGTGTGCGTGGGGGGGGGGGCACAATCCTCATATAAAGGCCTTCTCACCTGCCCCCAGGGGTGCTAGAACAATTTGTAAAGCAAGGGTGCTGAGAGCCATCGTCCCAAACCGCAAACCCTGTATATGATGGGAACCACTTCAAGCCAGGGGTGGGGCGGCACCCCCACGGCAGCAGCACCTATGCCTGCCCCACGAATGAAAGACCAAATGCACCCACCTCCGCCACCCCCACCCCACGCACCCTGCCCAACGCACGTTGGCCCGAATCCGGCAGGTGACAGGCACAAGCCCTCCTGCAAAGGCGAGCTCCGGCTGCGAGCCAGGAGCGAGCTGCAACCCCAGCGCTGCTCACCTGCCCGGCCGGCGAATAGGGGGCTCCCCGCCGAGTGCCCCCGCTGCCGCCCAGCCCTGCGCCCCTTGCCGGCAACGCCCCCGGCACTGGCAGCCCCGGGAGCGAGGCGCAACCTCGCAGCCCCCCCGCCCCGTGCAACCCCCAGGTAGCTTCCTCGGCCCAGCCGCAGCTGCTCCCCCGGGGTGCATGGGAGAGGCCGGACGGATGCCGCGGGGCGCCTCCCTCCCGCCGGGCTGCACCAGCCCCCAGAGCCGGGCGGGGAAGGGAGCTCGGCAGCGGCAGCAGCATCCGCGGGCTGAGCGGCGGAGGAATCCTCGCTCCTGCGCCTGTGTGTGAGAGAGGGAGAGCACGCGCGGAGGGATACACGATACTTACTTACGTCCCTCCCCCGCTGCCTCCCCACCGCCTCCCTGATATAGTGCGGCGCGGAGCGGCGCTGGCAGTCACTTGGCGAGCGGCGCTGCCCGGGCTGTGCGCGCGAGCCGGGAGCGGCGGCCAGAGCGGCGGCGGCGGGCAGCGGTGGCTGGGTTTTCCTGTGCTCGGCACCTCTAACTTGGGAACTGTCCACCAGCGTGAGCTCCTGAACATGAGCCGCCTCTCTCTCTACCTGCTCGGATTGCTCCTCAGTTGCGGGCAAGGTAGGAGCGGGGCTTTTCTTGCATTTCCTAGCTACCCTGCACACCAGAATGCGCCCTAATTACAGTAACCAAAAATAAGCAAATGTCTCACTCCAAAGGCCATCGGGGGGAGGAAGCCTGTTTAACCTCTCCACCCCCCAAAGTTGTGTTTTGTTATTTCTTATAAAATGTCTGCAAGGAAAAAAAAAAAGTCATTTAGATGGAAAAGAAAAGAAAAAGAGCTGGAAGATGCTAACTGCACTTAGCTGCTTTGCTTGGGATCTTGTCTTTTTTTTCTTAATCTTTTTTTCTAATAATTAATGTGTTTGGGGTTGGTGGGGTGTGTGTGTGTGTTTGTGTGTGTGTGGTTTGTTTGCTTTTTTTTTTTGGCAAGAGTTTGTGTCAGTTAAAAAACCCCTCAAACCGAGGCATGTTTTGAAATACCGGTCTGCTATTTTGTGTGCAGCCAACGTGGGCTTTATTTTTAGGAAAAAGGATTTTGTGCTCTCCCCTGCACTCCGTTGTCGGTGAGAAGTAATACTTGAAGCCTCCCTGTCAAGTTCTTTCTCCTTCTGTAATAAAAAGTGGCTGAGAATGGTTCATTTCAGTCTGTTGCAAAGTGAAGATGAATTGTTGTGATCAGTAAAGCAGGGTATCTGTGACAGTGAGTTGAATAAGTGAATATATCTCTGGATATAGGGGTGTGTGTATAACATTTAAAATAAAATAATGCTAAAAACGAAGGTGTTTGGAGAGAAGTGAAATATACTAAGATTACACCTGTATGTACTGTTTGCTTTAATTTTCCTCAGTACAAGTATACACATCCTACAGCAATTGTCCCTAAGATATAGATTTGTTGTTTTCTGTGTTACCTATACATTTATTTCAGGATTTATGCTACTTTTAGGGAGCGAGCAGGTCAACGGGGACTGATGAAGAGGGGTTGTGCTTGTGGTTGTGACACATTGACTGTGCCCATTTGTGTAAACTAATTACACTATTTCAAACTGTTCAGACAAGTTTTTGGTGTTAATTTAAAACTGAACTAGATTGCTACACCAGTCTCTTCCTTCCCCCCCTATTCCCTTGTACAAGGATCTACAAATTATATCTGGAATCACCACACTAAAGTCAAGGACCTGGTGAAAAATGATTGTGTGTATGTGTATCGCATGCAATTCTTTTTTTTTTTTTGGGGGGGGGGATTTAAAAAAAATCAGTCAAGGGATGGTGTAGGAACTGGTGCTCCAGACAGTTTTCCCCTCCATTACTTTTTCTGCCAGCAGGGGGTGGTAGAGCTCCATTCAGGTGATTGTACCTCTTAGTATCTGGCTGTATTAAGAAAAGAGAGTGAGAGTCTGAAACCAGTCTGTCTTCTATCATTCTTCAAGCACAGCTTGACATTTTGGATGTGAAGCCTTTCATTTCCCCCTCTTCTTCTCCCCCTCTCCCCCGCCCCCATAGGAGCTGAAGTGACACAATCAGATGCAGATTAGCAGCACGCACACACAGACCAGGGAGCGTTAGGAATGACTATCTACAGCAGAGAGATTTTATACACTAGCTTGTAAAGTGCCTGTGCGAACTGTTGCACCTTTTTTTAAAAAAGGCATTGGGGCTGTAGAGCACTGCAAATCCCCACTTAATTGCAGTTACGATTAAAGCTCCTGGCACACTAGACATTTTGTTTAAGAAGTGGAAAGTAGCAAAGAGCCATCAGATGCTCTCGAGCTATGCAGAAATGCCTCTGTGCTTTCACTATCTCTGAGTGAGCTCTGGAGCTATTGCAATTAACAATTCAGAAACAGTCTGGAGAATTTTCACCACAGCCATACACAGGGGTGGGGGAAGCATCCCTCAGAATTTGCATTGACCCAGCTAGGTGTAGAGGGTATATAGGTGGTGTTTGTAGTGCCTGGAAGGCGGCGAATGGAAGAAAGCAAGTTTGCAAATTGTGATTATTCTCTAGCTGCTCTTGGAAAGGATTACATAGCCTTGAAATCTAGCATTGCAAATGCCAGGAGTTACGCAGTGGGGTGAAATTTACAAATACCTTTAAGGGAGACTGAACAAGAGTTTTAACAATGACAAATGAGAGAGGTATGTGTGTGTGTTTGGTACATATATAATATAGTATCTGGTGTCATTGTCAACAGAAAACCACTATTTTTGTAGAGCAGGGGAATTGTATTAGAAAATTAGGGAGAATGAGACTGACTAGATGTGGAAGGAACAAACAACCTCAATCGGCTGCAATAAATGGTGAATGGGGAATGGGAGTGAGAGGAGCATCTGTGTAATGAAAATCTCTCTATTTAGGTTGGTACAGGAGAAAAAAAATCAGCATTTCTGAAAAATAAACATTGTCTGGGCAAGGAATGTATAGATAAAAGTTTACTCAAAGGAAATGACAAAAACTGAAGGATTTCTTGAAATGCCTTTCACAATCTGAAAGGCTGCTCTGTAAACACTTGGGATTTATTTTCTACTGAGTCTGAGTATTTGGGGATGCAGTAGCAAGGACATTCACATCACTAGCACAAGTATTTAAAAAAAACAACCTGAATCATATGTACATTATATTTTTTTAATAGAGAAGGAGTCTGGGTACAAAAATAAGCCAGTCAACAATCACTGGCATCATTTGCTTTGGAAATACTAAAAACCTAGCTCGAGGATTTATGTTTCCAGCAATATAGTTGCAGTGGATTTTATGAAGCATGATTGAAACTGTTTCATTGGGAAGGGCTGTTAGATTTGGGAAAGGAAATGGTGATGTATTCCCTTTTAAGCAGTCAAAACGTTTTGAAACTAAGCAGCTGACTGTAAGCAAATGACAGAAGTGAAAAACTGACTAACTTAAGTGCTTATCAATGTCATAATTAGCTAACGAGGCCAAATACTCCCACTCCTAACTTTCATCACAGAGAAGCAAGTTCTTTTTCACTGGCAATGTCATTAATCTGCAACTAAAAAAGATATATTTTTTGTAACCTCTCATAGATGCTTAGACAATCCTCCAGTGTGGAAAGGCCCACATTAAATTAGTACGGGGCGAGGGGACACCACCAAAAACCAAAAATACCCCCAACAATACTTGGCTATATATAAATTGATCTTTTAACAGATGTGGAAATATGCAAACAAAAGAGAGTAGGTTTACTCAATCTTTACTAGTAACTAGGGACACTGGTTGATAGTGAATGAAGCAGCTACCAACCAAGATGTCAATGTTCAAAATTTTACTGGTATGGGTAGGAGACTTTTCTCTGAGTTGCCACACTATAATCCTTCCCTTTTATTAAGCTGGAATACAAAAACTGCTACAGTCGAATTTCAGTTATTTTAAACACACACGATGATGCTGTGGTAAGAGATGCATTTGTATGCTTATCAAACGTTTTTCCCTGTCATTTCCTGTGCTTGAAGTTTCATCCTTCTCTGATGTAATATGGGGAAAGAAGCATGTTTTTAGTTCTCACCTCTTAGATGTTAATCTGTTCTGCTGCTGTGCTTCCTGCTAGCCACATGCAGTGTTTCCTTCCAGGAAGTCCTAATAAGGGTTTATTCATCAATCACAAACATCTCTCAAAATAGAGGCCAGGTGTGTCACACAGTCTGTTTTTGAGTGAGATTGCAGGGATGAAATACTGGCTCTACTGAAGTCAATGGGAGTTGTGTCATTGACTTCAGTAGGGCCAGGATTTTACCCCAGATATCAACGTCTGGTTGGGTCAAGGTTTTGGGGACCTTCTGGTACCTAGAAAATCTCCTTTCTCTCCCAGTTACACATTTATAAAACATCAGCAACAAAATAAAAATAAAATACACTCCTACCCTCATCTCCCCCAAAAGGAAGTGCACTGCAGCCAACCCGGAATGTCTGAGGGTCTACTGTTCACCAACTGATGGAAGAGTCCTATTTTGGGTGGATACAAGGATACCTGGAAGCTACAACAGAATGATCTTTTACCAAGGAAAGGGTTGTTTCCGAAGTGTCACCTGAAGATGGATGGTGAAGAAACTGAATGTTTCTTACAAACAAATAAACAAACATCCTTGTATTTGCAGAGTGGAGGAATTTTAGTTAGTTTGCAACAGCACTATGAAGTGGAAAAAATGGAGAGGAACTCCCAGGTGCTCTTTTATAGAATAAAGCACTAGAGAGAAAGTACTGATTCTTCCTAAGAGTTTGAATTAATGTTTTTGTTTTGTTTTCTAGTGGGAGTTGTTTGTTTATTTAATAATACTTTTATCATGCTTTATGAGTGTTAACATAGAGAAATGACCAAATTATAAATGTTTTGCAGGAGAAAATGCACTTCCTGCTTTTTTAAAAAAGACCTTGGAACATGAACACTATATTTATTTGCCTTTTTGGTGACCTTTCTGCAGAGGTTGTCCAGCCCTGATGATTGTATTATGTTTGTACATGGTTTTCTTAAATTATTGAAGGATATTTACATTCAGCTGATGCCACAGATTCCCATTCAGAAAGGTCAAGTTATTAAAATGACGACATTTTAGAAAATTATGACTTATACTTTTGTTTAAATTACAATTTGTGGCTAATTATGCTGTTGTACCTGCATTGTAAGGTACAGTATGAGAAATGAGGACACATATTTCACTCAGTTATGGAATTCAGATAGTCCTTTATATCCAGATATTAGGCATGGAACTATTCCAAATTATTCCAGATAAGGATCTGTCCCATCTCCTCTTAAAGGACATTTTTGATTTTTTAACATTTATTTATTTTATAAAATTAGGGTAATTGGTTAATGAAGCATATCCTAGGGTTGCCCATATTACAAATTATAATTATTGGACTGGGTCAATTTAATGATTTTGAAGGTCACAAAGTGAAGTGGCTTGGCAAGAAAAATGTGGATATTCTATTAAATTGCAGTAGTTCAAGATTTTTGAAGGCACATTTAAGGCTTAGAGACTAAAATTATGCCTGTCATCTTAAAAGTATCTTATTAATATCAAACATTTTAGATTTGATCAATTAT